ACTGTATATTTATGAAAACCTAAATAATATTTGGAAAGATCCTAAAAAGTCAAACAACAGTGAGAGCAAAAGTAACAGATACAAGTTTTTAAGTAAACTTATTATTCTTCTTCCTCCTCTGTGATGATCATGTGTCATTATCTTTTCTGTCATGCACTAACTTAAAATCTAAGATTAAAATGTCAGATTATGGCCCTATATTGTCTACATTTGAAGCCAGAAAATTTTTTCATACATTTACTTTAAAATCCATCAAACACTTAGGCTGTTTCCATGTCCTGGCCATCATGAATAATGCTGCTATGAACATTGGTGTACAAATACCTTTTCGGATATGGGTTTTCAAGTCTTTAGGGTAAATACCCAAGAGGGATTGCTGGATCACATGGACATGCAAGCAACCGAAGTGTCCTACAACAGATGATTGGAGAAAGAAGTTGTGGTACATATGTACAATGGAATGTTATTCAGCCATAAGAAGAGATGAAATACTGCCACTGTGACAACGTGGCTGGCCTCGAGATAATCATGCTAAGCGAAATAAGCCAGACAGAAAAAGTGTAAAACCACATGATATCACTTATATGTGGGATATAAACCTAAAAGCAACAAACGAACAGGACAAACAAACAGACACTTATGGGCACGGACAACAGACTAGTGGTTACCAGAGGGTAGGGGGTGAGGGGAAAGAGAGATGTAGGTGTGGTAAAAGGGGTCAAATATGTGGTGAGAGAAAGAAATCTAACTGTGGGAGGTGAACATACAATGCAATATATATATATATATATATTTTTTTTTTTACTGTTAAATTGTACACTTGAAACTTACTGGATTTTATTAACCAATGTTACCATAATAAAATTAGTTAAAAAAAAATCCATCAAACAGTGGTTATAAAGAGCACACCAGAATTTAAAGGTTTACTTTTCAGTTATCCAGATTGTTGTTTCTCTCAAAGACTTATACACCAAAAAGTAACAGCTGGAATTCTTTTGGGTATGTTACCACTCACCACAGCTGTTAAAACTGCTGGGAACGATTTGAGAATTTTAGATATGGTTCCTGACTTTCAGAAGTTTATTATTTCATTGGGAAAATAAATCCCGCACTCATGAAACAATTAAACATTAATATTAGCAGTATGTGAGTAAATATCAGCCTAAATGGTATGCACAGACTAGGACAAAAGGAATTCAAAGGAAGAGAGAAAGATCATGTGCTGGAAAGGGCAGGGAAATAATGTGGAAATTCTATTGCAGATGAGCCCTGAAGTGTTTGAAGAGGGAAGACGAAGGAGAAAGACATTTCTAGAAGAAACAAAATCATGAGCAAAGATTCCCAGATAGAAAACAAACAAACAAACAAACAAACAAACAAACACATCACTCAAAGAACAATGAGAAAAAGCACAGAATTCTAAGAAATAAAGACAGAAAAGTCTTTAGATCCACCATACAGAACCTTGGAACCTGAAGTATATAAGCGTAAAATTGATTTTGTAAGCAATAGAGAGCCAATTAATAATTCTGAGCAATGGAGTAGCATGACCAAATGGTGGCCGAGAGAATCATCTAGCAGTGGTATTTACAAAATGTATACAGAAATAAAGATTTCCAGTGGCTATCCTTTGCCAGGCTCCGGGCTAGGCACTTATTGTATTATGATATTTATCTTCACAACGACCCTGCAAGGTAGTTATTATCTCCTTCCTTACAAATGAGGAAATGATGGTATAGAGAAATCCCAAATCTAAATATTTTCAAACAAGAAATTCAAATGTGTGCCATGATCTAGTTGAGACAATAGGAGTCTGTACTCATATATTGCTGGTGGAAATGTAAAACGGTTCAGCTGCTGTGGGAAAGTTTAGTGGTTTCTCAAAATGTTAACCAAAGAATTACCAAATGATTCCACTATTATACTCCTAGGTATCTACCCCCAAAATTACAAATGGGTACTCAAACAAGTACAAATAAATGCATGTTCATAACACTATTCACAGTAGCCAAAAGGTGGAAATAACTCAAATTTCCATCAATATATAAGTGGATAAACAAATAGTGTATATAAATACAATGGAATATTATTCAACCATAAAAAGGAATAAAAACGGACACATGCTACACCATGGCTGTACCTCCAAACCATATGCTAAGTGAAAGAAGCCAAACACAAAAGGTCACACATAGTATGATTTCATTTACATGAAATAACCAGGATAGATAAATTCACAGAGACAGAGTGCCAATTAGTGGTCACCAGAAGCTGAGGTAACGGGAATGGGGAGAAAACTGCTTAATAGTAAGAGGTTTCACTTTGGAGTGATGCAAATGTTTTAGAACTAGTTAGAGGTGGTGGTTATAAAGCATTATAAATATATTTAATGCCTCTTTAAATATATAATTGTTCACTTTAAACACAAATGATTAATTTTATATTATGTGAATTTCACCACATAGATTACTTTTTATAATTAGAGTACTATGGTAAACTAGAAAATATACACATCTGTCATGTTCCATTTAAAACATCCTGTGTGGGCTAAACAATAAACACCAAACTGTTCAAGGTTACAGAACGAGTAGGAAGCAGACTTAGAACTCTTCCTGTATTCACCACCATCTCTCTGGAGAAGTAACAGAATTGAAGTAAGAGACCAATTAAGAGGTAATGGATTAACCTTTGGATGAAATGTTTGGCATCTAGTAAGGAGATGGCAGTGGGAAAGATAATAAAGGGATAAATATAAACAAATATTTCAAAATAAGAGTCATTAATTCTAGGTGAATGATTGTCTATAAAGAAGTCAAAGAAAAATTTTAATCTTAAATAGAAGAATGATAAAAGTATTCCTAAAGAGGAAAAGAAGACATCATGGCAGAAAGTGTTTGTATTTGGACTTAGTACCACAGAGTAAATGATTAGCTGCAGTTACCATTTAGATTCAATCTTACAAATTTACACAATTTTGCAACCTTCTGTGTCTTATTGCCATTTGAAGATTTTTAAAAAAACAACCTTCGTTATAACCTTAATTTCACATCACCCTTGAATTAAAAGTTTAAACAAGTTAAACCAAACACAAAATTTGATTTCAATTGCAATTTGGTAATGAACATGAAAAATGATTCTATCTAAATCTAGAGATTCAGCATAGCAAAGTAGAAAAATATAACAGTTTAGCACATATGAAATATAATCATAAATATAATAAAATTTGACTTCAAATTCATGTTTGGTACAATATGCATGACATCCTATCCATTTTGCTTAATGTTATTTTACTCTTTCAAAATCATACCACTAATAATCGTTGCCAAATATTCTAAATATATTTTACTTCCAAACCAGTAACATTATGAACATTCACTAATAATTCAAATAACAATACAATGGTTATATACAAAGCTTTCTTCTGAGACCTACAGAGTAAAAGACTAAATTTAATCAGCAGGATGTCTATATATGAACCCTATGGACTAGATCATGGTAATTATAAGGTTGAAATGAATCCTGTCTCAAGAATCCAACACACAGTCTTAATCCTTTCCCCGTACCCAGTTTCCAGGCCCCCAAATCGAAGGTGTTTTCCCTGGGAACTCAAGTAAACGCTAATGTGACAGAATGGGTATGCCGGACCTTCCTGTCCAGCCACTTCACTCTTAGGACCAGGCTAGACTTTAACTGCAAGCCTCATCAGACTGGCTCAAGTTCTTTTTATTCCCCTCCCTCCTTTTATTTTAATTGTTAATTTTTAACAATACAATGAACACCGTGAATTCATCACTGAAACAGAGTTCTGGAACCCTGACAGTAAGTTCTCCCTTATCCATCCATCTGCTTCCCCTCTCCAGGCAGTTCTCATTAAAAGCAGTACTGGATATTTTTCAAAGGGGTATAATACATTATATCATACTACGAAGCAATACATTCATAGAACTGGCATCAAAAAAGCAAAGTCTGGTAAAAATGGTTACTTAACCAGTGGCAGTGAAAAGTAAGACAGTTTTTTTTTGTAAAGTAATATAGCAAAAATGTACAAAAAGTTGCTCTAAAAATTAATGCCCACTAACCTCATAAACTCATTTTTTTATAGTAATCAATCCCACGAAAATAATCTAAAATTAAAAAGCACAATTTGTAATAGGATGTACATAACAGTGTTACTGATGAGAGGAAAAAGCTGAGACAACATATATAATCAACAAGAAGAAATTAATAAATAATATTACATCTAGCTAAGGTCTGTCCTTTGCTAATCTAGGCCAATATACATTTTTTAATTTGAAAACTGTCATGATGTTCTGAATGTTTCTCAAATATATAGAATCTAGCTTTTTATCCTTAATAGAATTGACAGCATTAAATTTTTAAAAATCAGGATGATGGCTGGGACCAATATAAACCAGTTAAACACTGTGAGGTTTAGACTGTCATATTTGTTTTATAATATTCTTCAAAATCATTAAAAGATGAAGAAATAAAAGAAAACTGTATAAAACTATTAAATGAAATTCTATATAGTTGTATTAATAGAAGCAAATATTTTCTGGACTAAGTACCATAAATATTTTCTTTTAAAGTTAGAGTTTGTCAATACTCAAATTATGAAATGAAAATATTTTTTCAAAGCAAAATGCCACTAAAGAATAAATGCATATTATGTAAATGATAATCATACTAATTAGCTTTATCCTATAACATAAAACCCTAGAGCAAGAAAACTTTAATTCATAAAATGAATACATACATAAAATACATAAAATAAAAGTGACTTGTATGTAATTTTATAAATAAAAAGGTAAAGAATGACCTTTAGGTAATATACTGTAGTAATAAATATTTAAGGTAAAATATGGCCATATATATATATAACCTAGATCTCATAAATTTGTGAGGATATACAAAAATAGGTGTTTTTCCTTTTGACCTACTGTAAGCATGTCAGGATTTATTTCAAGCTTTTCATTTAAATAAAGTTAATTATCAACACTTACCAGCAGCTTCAAGAACCAGCTGCAGTCTGGCTTTAGCTTGTTCAGCTGGTGGCTAAAAATCAACCACAAAAGACATTTACAGGTCAGTTTTAATAGATGGAGCTTTAATGCACTGTTATGCAGTATCAGAAAATTTAGAGAACTTTATTCTAATCAATATTAATATCCACCTACCTTTGAACAAATTGCATCATAGCAGTTCTACCAATCTACTCTCTCACTGTAGTAATCAGATAATACTTTTCATTAACATGATGCAAGAATAAAGTTCTTTCATTTTCTTTTTACTGGAAAAGGTTTTGTTTACTACCCAACATTGTACCAATCAGCAGTAGCTTACATAACAATAACTTAATAATGAGGTGAAACCCATACATTTAACAACATATTAGTTGCATATGGAAACATGTAAAGTGATTTATTAGAATTGAAACAACAACTTAAAGTCCAATACATCAGGCAAGTCATATCCTAAAACTAAAGACTTTGTTTTCCTAACTCTACTGGAAAGAAGCAATTGTGATAAAGATAGGACATGATGTGAGTTAAGTGCTTTCAATTCCTACTAACTGTCCTAATATGGTTCTCTCAATAAACCTTGATTCAATATAGTTGATAATGCTGAAATTAACTTCTTTCCTACCAGCGACCTTACTCTGAGATTTTTGGATAGATAATGTGTTGATGGTATCCAAACTATAACAGACTGTATCAAGACTATGATTTTTATGAAAGACCTGTTAAAAACTATTTTTAATACTTAACACTTCACAATATATTTATAAAGATGTAAGCATGTGACTAAACAAACATTTATATACAATCATTTGAGAATTAACATTTCACAAAATATATTAGAATATTTCGTTACTTGTGAAATAAAGCTTAAATAAAAAGCATTAAATAACTGGATATAGAAACGTGCTCAGAAAGTTTAAGAATTTGAATGGTGCTTCTGAACTGTAAGAAACAGGATGGGAGAGAGTTAAATGAGATGGGAGGGAAGACAGGGGAGAGCTTTTTATAACATAGAACAGGGGTTAACAAACTGCAGCCCTAGACCAGTGGCTGGTTTTGTAAATAAGTTTTATTGGAACACAGCCATGACCATTTGTTTATATATTGTTTGTGGTTGCTTTTGTGCTCAACTCAACAATAGCAGGAAACTTATGTCTATCAAAGCCTAAAATATTTATCAACCAGACCTTTAAAGAAAAGTTTGCTGACCCCTGACATAGAAGATGGAGGGACTTAACAAGAATTTGAAACAGCAGGGTGATGAGATGAGATCTGTACTTTGATACATCATTCTAGCCGTATGAAGTGAAAGGCATGTGACTGGAGGCCAGGAGCGCAGTTAGGGAGCAATTAAAGAATTCCTGGAGAAAGATAAAGAGGGCCTGAGGTGAAGCAGTAGCAGTAAGGTTGGACAGGAAGAACTAGATTTGAGAAATATTTAATTGGTAACATGTTTGGGTGTGAGAGGAGGAGCTGACAAACAAAAGAGTACTTTATGTCATATATTTGTAGAGAAAATGTATGTAAGTGTGCTTTATAAAGTATTGGATGCGTGACATCAAATTAAAATATCACAGCAAAATTCTAATGGCAGACTGACACTTACTGAATAATTTTTCTAACAGTTATATAAACTAAATTGCCTATATGGGCCAAACAGTTAATATAAACATTTACGATGATAAAGGCAAATGACATTAGACATCAGTATCAGGGAGCACAGAGAGTGTGGAGAACTGTGGAATACACGGCCCCGCCAAAGCAAGCAGTTGATACTCAGCACTAACTCACTGTCATCATGCAGAACTGCAACTCCAGGCTTACAAAATTTCTTGATTTTTCGTGAGACTTTAAGTCACTACAAAGACTAATACTGTGTAGAACACACAGCACTTCTAAGAGCCAGGTTCAATCCCAAGAAAGTTTGTGTGCCTATGTCATCTACTTAACACACACAATAGAAACGTGATACTTTGTGCAATATAACATAACTAGAAAGGCAAGAAGAAAATGATGTTCTGAATAGCAGTTCCCAATGAAGCTAAGAATTATGAAGCATACATTTCTGAGGGTCCAATAAGCAGCATCCTTTGATAGAAAAATGTTAGACACTTTATTGATTAAGATATTTCATGGGAAAGTTTATGTACTTTATAAGGAAACATTATTTTTAATAATTAAGAATATGTAAGACATAGAAAAATATATAGAATGAGTACCCACATCTAATAAAATATTAACAATATTGTTAAAATCTCTTACCCACAAAATCTTCCTCTATAGCACCCCACCCCCAATTTATAACTACTGTCTTGAAAACGTGGTGATTACCATTCTGAAGGAAAGATTTTTGATGGTTGATAATTATGATAATATCACCTACTAAGATATATTTATATCTTCATTAATTCCTCTAATAAGCTATAACATAGGATTCATATTTCAAAGATAAAGAAAATCAGGGAATCAGAACAGTTTAGTAACTTGCCTCAACTAGTGAATGACAGACTGAAATCAAGACCTTCTGCTCCAAATCTCAGGATCTTTCTAACTAAATCACGATATTTATGAAGTCAAAGCAATTAATTTCATAGATATAAAAACATAAGGATAGGTTTTTGATTTTGTTCAAAAGACCAATCTGTTCAAAATACTACATTTGTCCCAGTAATGTAAATGAAATGTAATTCCATTCTAAATACATTCGCATATACTAATATAACTTCCTAATTTTATTTGTGAAATATAGGGACCAATTCAACTATGGGATAAAAATACATTGTTAGGTTCACCAGATTTTTTAAAGTAATTTTTATTTTTACTTTTAAAAATATTTGATTTCATTTCTCAAGTACTGGATTCATTTCTCAAACATTATTCTTGTATAGGGAATTCAGATACAAATGTTCTCTCACTTTCTGTCCATCTGCAAATATCTTTCTTTTACTCTGACTGGTGAATAATTTGAATGGATATGGGATTCTTGGTTGCAGTCTTTTTCTGTCAGTCACCTTCCCCTCAAATCCTTTCCAAGGGCCCCCTAACACTGTTTCAGCTTTAAATTTGTCCCAGAAGAGGAAAGGCATCACAACAGGTCTCTTGGCTGAAACCTTCCAGGTCTCACCTGCCTATGTGAGTCAGTAGCTTCTTGGCTCAGAAAAAAATCATTTGGAGCTGGGAATGGAGAGTAGACTGGCAGATACATATTGCTATCATTCTGATTGCTTTCTACAGTTACTTTTTAAAAAAAGATTAAGAGGAAAATAGAAACAATATAGAGTTAAAAGAACATTTTATACTAATCCATTTTTAGTTAAGTATCATCATACTAGCAGGCTTAGAATGAAAATACCTTTGGGGCTTGCGTGCCAAAATTTCTAATGTTTTATCTATTTTAGAATATATTAGATCCTAGGGATTACCATGAATTCCATCTAAAGTTGGTAAATGATACTGTTATTCAGAACTAGAAATCAAACCTTATTTAATAAATAATAATACCAAATACAAATGCACGGAATACAGCAATTTCTCAATATAAGAATTATACAACAAGGACATATTTAAGAACACAATGTCACAGTTATATTGTGTGAAGTAAACTTACAAAGAAAAAATTATATTCCATTAAAAAATAATATTCCTTACATGAAAACTAGTAATGCATAATTGCATAAATATCAACAAAATTATAAAGAATATGTTGTTCCTTAAAAATAAATTTTAGTACTGACATTAACAGAACAGTAGGAAGACTATGAACTTTTACGGTAAGTTTTTAAAGGCTGTAGTAAAGTTAAAACACTATTGTGTTATGATACCCCAAAAATATATATTAGCATAGATAATATACTGTAATTTTAACTCATTTAAAGAATATTGTACTTCTGCTAGAAATTCTTATCATATAGGGCTTACAAGAAATGTTAAAAGGTCTTCTTTATGCAGAAATAACCAGAAATAAGAATATATAGGGTTTAAAATTTCTAAATTAATAAAGGACTTTTAATGGGGGTGAGGGGGTTGGTAGTCTTTCTATTGTCATGAATTCTCCAGAACTGCCCTGCCCTTTCCCTCCCCTTGGTAGCTAAGAATACCTACTTAACTCCACTTGTAAGCCCTGGTTTTAGAGAGGAGTATCCAGATTCTTAAGAAAAAACAAAAGCCCTAAGATAAAACTAAAATATAAGTCCGTTTCCTGATGGCTTGAAGAGGTGACTATCCTCAATGTCTAGACTTTTTCCTTTGACCTTGGATTTATCCTTATTTAATCCAATTCCCTGAGTTCCTTATAAATAGACTGCACATCTAGATTCTCAAAATACTGCCAAAGCTAACATTCAAGATCAGCACAATCATTTAAGCCATGACTATATAAAAAAACAGCAGCAAAGAGAAGCCTATTCTTATATAAACCAGTCACCTAAAACTAAACTATTTAAGCTATCTGTTCACCCTTCTCACTTCCTTTCATATTCAGTTCCCTGAACCCCTGGCCACCAATATGGAATTCTGAAAGTTGACAAAAATATGGCCATTCTAGCTGCCACAGTGACTGTACCATTTTAATTCCCACTAACAGTGTAGAAGGGGTCCAGAGTCTCTACATCCTCGCCAACACTTGTGCTGTGGTATGTATATACACACAAGGGAGTATTATTCAGCCTTAAAAATGAAGGAAAGTCTATAATATACTCCAGCATGAATAAGGCTTGAGGACCCTTGTGCTAAGTATAAGTGAGTCATAAAAAGAAAACACTGTATAATTCTACTCATATAAGGTACTTAGAGCAGTCAGTATCATAACTTAGAGCTGCCAGGGGATTAGGGGGAGGGGAAAATGGAAAGTCATTGTTTAATGGGTATAGAGTTTTAGTTTCACAAGATGAAAAGAGTTATGGGGATGGATGGTGGTGATGGCTGCACAACAATGGGAATGTATTTAATACCACTGAACTGTACACTTAAAAATGGTTAAGATAGCAAATTTTATGTTAAGTGTATTTTATGACAATAAAAACAAAATGAGAAAAA